AAAAAATTAAACATAGCTAGCACTGACAATGTCACTACTAAGAATGGCGTAACTACAAACATTTCCGTTTTCACTACTATTGCAGTATTATGTATGATGTTAGTACGATTGCTGTATTGGCAATGAATGTACAGATACATTGTTTGATTGAGAGGCCTGAACAGACAGTGTATGAAAATGTGTCTGACAGTGATGACAGAGTTGAATGGGGAACAGATGTGTATGTATGGTTATTGTGAATAGATGACTGATAAATATGGTATATGTGTTACAGTGAATGTATAGGTATAGCTAACTTAGCTGTTAATGTATGAAAGACTGTATGACAATGACATATTGAGATAGAATGGATGAATAATTCGTGACAATGTTTATAGTTAATATATGGCCATATGCTGTTTGTCTGTTTGAATGAGTGCATAAATCGTTTGAATGGTTTTAGTGAGTGGTTTGGTTTACGCCGCTTTGTGCAATATTCCAGCAATATCACGGCGGGGACACCCACAAATGGGCTTCACAGATTGTGCCCCTGTGGGGAATCGAACCAGGTCTTCGGCGCGAAGGCTTTAACCACTAAGGGGCTACCCACCGCCCCTTGATTGGTTTTAGCTAATGTACAATAGGTATATGTTGTTTGTCGGAGTAGGTTGGTGTGTGGAAGATAGTATGACAGATTATGAATCAGTAATATATGGGGATGTATGACAAACTGAAAGGATTTGTTTTATTTTCATACTTATTTATTCAAATATTTATCTAATTTAGTAACTAAACTAACTAACCAGCTTACCAACCAAGCAGCCATTCAACAAACTAACCAGCTAACCCACTAACTAACCCACTCTCCAACTAACCCACTCTCTCACTAACTCACCTCACTTTACCAGGAATGACTGAAGGCTTTGAACAGATTTCAAATGTAAGAATGCCAGTATGAATGTATTATTGAGTAATACCTTAGTTTTAAGCGTGTATGTATTATGAAAGTGTCTCGTAGGCTCTATGGCCGGGCATTATTTGTATTTATATGCGTGACACTGACTTTCTCGCTTCATTTTTTTATTATGAAAGGTAATCGCACATTTACTGAAAAGTATAATTTTGATGACTCAACATATTTTACTTCAGTACTTAAGAAAAATAACTATGATAGGATTTTGTACTTGAAAATCTGTTAGCTTTTATGTTATTGTTGAGTAACACACACACACACACACACACACACACACACACACACACACACACACACACACACACACACACACACACGAAAAGCATGAATGTATGCAGAATGTACAGTGGTTCTATACTCAGCATTTTTCTTCAAAACATCCAGTTTTTAGGAAGGTACGTGCTAGTTCAGCAGGTCGATATTGCAAATCCCGCTGTTATTTTTGTCTAATAATGAAACTAACCTAACTACCTCTTGAATACTTAGATAATAGTGTCTGTGTGAATATTCAATAATTAGCTGATTTCTTTTGGTAAATGTACCAAATTGTTTTCTGTCAAAGTATGAATTTTTTTTAAGTTTAATAAAAATTCAAATTAAAACTTTACGAACTTTTTATATATTGAGATTACAATTTGATAATTGTATTTAGCAAGGTATTAGCAATTGCAACATCAAACGTTTGCTGTTCTGAGATAAATGTCACTAAAATCATCAAATTGAGTAATTTTCACATATGTTAGAATACCCGTTACCCTGACAACTGTTGCTATGAGCTGCTGTGCTCATCAACTCTTCAAAACTATAGCTGAAGTTATATTTATTCTTTCAGTACAAAAGTAAAAAGAATTCTGACAGCACGAATAGTTTTAACAATATTGTCAACTGAAAAGCAGCATTCGTACATTTTCAAATGCGATTCTGGGTCAATTTCGTAGAATTCTAATTGACAGCTAATTAATACAAAAAATACTGAGAGCAAACACATTTCTGAGTGACATGGCATTTTACAAGGCCAAATATAGAAATGACAAAATTTCAAGTGAATATAGAATTTGTTGACTTATCCACCTCTGCAGGATTCTTAGGTGGAATGTTACTTAAACATTCACTGTCTATTTACTAGCCCCACTGCAGTCGGCAGTTATGGAATCTGTGAAAAAAGGGCAGGAGAAACAGAGGAAACGGTGACACTGAACATCTGCCCGAAGTGTCTGAATGATCGAACAAACGGTCAAGTAAATATCACCGGGATGATGGTGTGTAAGAAAGGAGGAGCAAGCTGTGGACAAAGCGGTGAGTATACTGTAGACGGAAATACTTTCAAATCTCATATTGCGATGTTTTTCTTATTTGCAATTAAACATGTCACTTAAATGAGTGAAATAATCACAGTTGACGTGGTCAAAATCCGCCATATTTAACGTTGTAATAGTGTGTATACTATGTCGCTAGCAATTTGCTTTGTTTGTTTGTTGTTTAACGCCGCACGGTGCAATATTCCAGCTTTCTGGCGATGCTAGCAATTGGAACTTTTTCGGAAATTGTTAATGTGAATAAGAATGATACAACTGCAAATGTTAATGCCCGGATCTTTTGATGTCGAAATAATATATATGACGTTCCTGTTTGAATACTTGGTGCTAATTATGCAGGAAAACGTCGCGCAACAACCTCTGCTGCGGACTATAACAAAATTGCTAACTGGAATGTGGCCAGTGGCTATAGTTTCAACGTGGAGTACAGGGCAACAAAGCCAGATTGGCTTGCTAGAAATATTGGTGAGTATTGGTGACATCCTTACTGCAACAGCTGACACGTGGTTACAATATTTAATGCGGGATAAAAACATAATTAAGGTATCTTGGATTCTAAACTAACATAAATCAATAAATGCTCCTGGGATGTTTTTTTCTATTGACATATACAGCTGCCTTCTGCAATTATGTACAAATTGCTTTCTCAAAGGTCAACAAATGTCCATGCAACTGCAGACCCTTTCGGGAACGCTGAGTGTTACTGACCTAGTTGGGTGATCATTTTCCCCCAAATTTCATAAATATTGGTGTTTAGGCTCAGTGACTGATTTGGATTATGCATACTGGATTGTTTCATCGCTATACATCCGGATTAATGCTCTGATGTTTAACAACACTCATACAAAACGTCATTGACACATGATGCTAATGATTATATTTTTATTGACAGATAAACTCACTTTGACCTTTACGCTAGGTGAGGAAGATTGCACTGAAAACCTGCCAGGCGTTTTCTGTAACGGGAAACTCCCTGCAGGAGAAACATTTATGTAAGTTGTTGATGACACCGACAATCTGATATTCGTATTGTGAATATTTACAATACTATGCATTTCAGAACACTTGCTCATGAGTAATACATCTTTAGGCTGCATATAGATCCATATTCTGCATTCGGTAAAGTAGTGACTTGTTACTTGCTCTGGTGGCAGGCCCACCACTGTCACACGTTTTTCAAACGCCAGTGACGAATGTTGTGAAATCATGCACTGACAAGGCACAGACATGAAGAGCCCGTCGTGCAATACAAGGCCGACTCGTCAGCCGATCTACATCAAAACCGCTGTCATACACCAGGGTCGGCGTCTGCGTTCCCATTGTTTACGGAACATGACTATATAACTACATGAGAAATCTCCACCAAATTTGGTATACTGCTTCTTTATATCATGTATATGTGCCTTTTGGGGGTTTGAGATTTTTTCAATTTTATGTTTTTGCTTCCATGGCAACAATTTTGACTTGGTCTTTTTGAAGGGTAGGTTTGTCTTCGGAGCATAACTCTAAAACCACTTCACCCATCTTCACCGAATTTTGTATACTTAATACCAATACCAATTACTAGTAAGCTTTGAAGCATCAACCATGTACATGTACTACTATGAAATATGTATAATATGTATTTTCATACTTCTATACTTCATATAGACATTTTGAAATTGAAGGAATCAAATGAATCGTTTGAGGTCTCAACGTTGAATTGGGGAAGGGAAGACATCTGTTTTTATAAAAACACTTTCTATTAACTAACATAAATACATATATACACAAATAATACATAAATAATACATATACGCACACACGCACGCACACATACATACAGTTTTTCTGCGTTATTTTCAGTGTTTACGCTTTCACGTGCACAAATCATGGGTGCACCACAAGTCAACAAATTGAAGTTACAGCAAAAGGTATGTTTCAAGAATACATAACCTGACTTTGACTCATTACATATAATGTATCTGATAGGAATCATTTAGACCATATCAACTATTCATAAATGTACATCTAATTACAGCTTCGTTCCCAATTGCTGCTGTGGTCGGAGGACTAGTTGCTGCAGTTGTTGTCATCGTTGTTGTGATCGTCGTCGTGGTCATCTGTAGACGAAGGTATGTTTGAGATTCAATACGTACGAACTCCTTCCACAATGTTCAGCAATCTTTGCTAAAAGCTCGTTCCGTTTCATGATCCCGAATCTATCATTACCATATATTTATGAATAAAAAATGAATAGCTGTGAATGAGTGATGGTCCCACTGGGTTCGCGAAAGGTGTACGAAGCACTAACAATGTCATGATACTGGGTAACCATGTTACTCTCAAGTGAGTGAGTGAGTTTTGTTTTACGCAGCTTTTAGCAATATTCCAGCAATATCACGACGGGGGACACCAGAAATGGGCTTCACACATTCACTGGTATCTGCCCGTCATCAAGATATAGCATGGGCAAACACTGTGCTAAAATTAAGTCGATTATATCATGCAATGTCTCCACTGTGTCTAATCGTCTAATTACGTTACTTATTAAACAGTGCATCCATTCTTTGACATACATATACATACCCAAAGGTTCTGATTTCTTACAGAAAAGCACACAAGGAGAGGCCTAAGAAGAGCAGAGATGAAGTCATCGCAAATGATCAGGTCCGCCCAGAGCAAGATGACGTATACGACAAGATTCCCGATGGTCAGATGGTGACTGTCGACAACAGCCACAGTAATGAGGGTTATGTAAATTATGTGTCAGGGCAATCCTCTCGGGACACAGACAATACCTATGACGCACTTACCACTTACCAGAATGCAGATGGTCATGATTATGGGAGGATAAATCTTGAAACTAGTTTTAGATAAATATACAAGTAGCAATAGCAAAATCAATACCATAGGTTCTTCAATGAAATCATGTATAGTACATGCAGCCAACCTTTTCAAATGCTAGTGCTGTTTAGTTTGTGAATGGTGAGTACTCAGGATATTAATCAATGTTCATGTACGTGACAGGTGAAATGTTTTAAATAAAAGTAGCGATAGTAAATTGAATACCATATATTCTGAAATGCAAAACTGTACAGTACACAATATAGCCAACAAAATCAAATGCCTTTGCCTTTTAGTTTGTGACTGATAAGCACTCATGTACATGTACGTGGCAGGTGTAATGACTCATTGTGCCCATAGATTATGTTGTTCTATTGAAAACGAAAAGCATAAGAATGTAGCATCTAGTATTGTGTTAACACATATATATACGCTATATGATGTAGTTAAACCCTTGTAGGTTCCATAATTTAAAGAAACCATTACAGTTTCTGTACGATTCCGAGTAGATCAGTTTAATAATATGTTTATGGAGGAGTGGAGGCTGGAACGTACCATAGACATTAATCTTCTCTGCATAGTGGTGCTACTATCGACAACAACATGTTTTGAACTTTGCATTGTTCAACAGAGCCACACGTTTATGCTTAAAAGTGTTAACGATGGATCATGAATTATAAATGCTAATGCAAAGGATTAAGACAAGAGCTGACTCCAAACATCACATGCAAGAGCTTTAAGTCTGTAACAACTTTCTATAATCTGCACGTACCGCACAGGAATGTGCCATACCTCTTTTGGACATTTTTAGAAAGGCCGAGGACCATTCTTTCTGTCAGTCTGGTCGATTGAGCTCATCATATATTTGTGATTTACTTGACATCGTTCATTGCTAAGGAGCCTAAAGAGTTCAAACCTTACCTTATCCTTGACTTGGGAGATCTTCCCGAGATAGAAATTTATGATCACTGCGTTGCTGATGTAAAAAACGATTAAGTGATAACAATCATGATTTAAGAATGAGTCACGAAATAATCCTTTTCTCATATTACCAATATGTACAGCTTCAAGGAAAGTGTGCTTTTAGTTAAGTTGCAAAGTAGCGACCCCGTATCCTGCGACTCTGTTCACGATGCTGATACATATGCATCTAGATTTCCTCAGCTTCTGAAAATGTGCCGGTACAGAGGTCTTTACACTAATTGCACCACATTTCTACTGTACAGTAACGCTTTTCGAGTTATTCATGATAACTTCAGGAATTGTTCTGACTACTCGAGAGCTAAGATACTCTGTAATCCCTCCTCTCTCAGACACTCTTTTCGAAAATATCATTTGTGTTTATGGTAAAGGAATATGTGATCGTTTGCCAGCATGGAAACTACAAGATACGAGATTATAGTACACAAAACACCTGTTTCGTTAGTATTAATCTCCGGACAGTCAGACAATCCTACATCTTTATATGGACTATATGCATCGGCCGTAGGATTAACCACTTCATTGGTCAGATAACAAATATCAGGACGTTGGTTTGGTTACTATGTAAGCATGTTTATTTATAGACAGGATTGGCTATCGTAGGGATAGTTTTCTTTGTCTCATGAGGTCTCTGACAGGGAAACCATGTTCACAGATGTGTAGTTTGTCCGGAAAACGTCTTGGTAAGATATATATGTCAGTGTGATAACGTATTTTCCTTGCATCTCACCGTCCGGACTGGTGGGGTTTAGGCATCAAATACCAATCTGCGAAACGTGGTCCTCTCTAGCAATTACACCAGGCTATTAATGATTGGAGCTATTGAAAACAATGCTACTGGAAATCCACAAACGTTCTCGTCAAGTTCCCCCCGAGCTCCTTAACAGGTTTTCTGCAAGTTTGAACAAATACCTTCTGAATAGACGATTGACGACTGTTTTGTAGTTGAATGGCAACATTAAGTTGTCGTCCTTGTCTGTCTGCAGAAAGTGCACAGAGTGTGTTATTTGTATACCTTGTGTGAATACCAGGGTTCCCCCGTACTCCAGTATTATCGTGTCCAGACCTGCCCTTTATGTGACACCATCTTGCAGCTTATGCCCATTCCTCTATCATAGTTGCACTGTGAGCTTTGTCAAACTTCAGTTCAGCAAAAGGGGGCGGATCCATGGGGTGCATATTTGTCACTGCTAGCAGATCACGACTAGTGGTATGAAAGACACAGACTATACGTACAGAAGGCCTTGTGACAACATGTTCATCTTGTTATTATTAAGGGCACATGTGCATGCACATAAAAATGATAGTGAAGAATGTATCCGTATGAAAACGTTTGTCGGTGTATAGTATCTTCAACAAATTCAATTTCAATTCTTGAAAAATACATATGTATCAAAGACATTATCACGCAGCCAGATTTCAACAAATATATTCAACAGACTGGAATGCTGACAGTAAATAATACCTGCTTAAAATGTATGCCACAGCCTGTTGTTTCAAGCAAATAAACAATTCAATAGCTAAGGCGTAGTAGTCCCTCTTTCAACACTGACTCACTATAGAGTATTATGCCTATAAATAGTGAATAGAAGCTAACAAGTGAACATTCGGAACCAACACTCCTGAATTATGGCTTCTTGGGAAGCGAAAACAGTCGATATCGTTTGTGTTAAGTAAAGGGGTCAGCGTTGACATGAAGACAATCGACATAATCGGTGTTAAATACAGTAAGTGGGTGGATACAAGTTCAGTCGGCATGACCAGTCGACACCAACAGTGTTAACAGCGCTAAAAGGGTGGACATGGCTACAGTCTTAATAAACGGTGTTAAACGGCGGGCATGAGGACTATCGACATCAGCAGTGTTGAATACCGATAAGGGATGGAAATGAGGACAGTGTTAAATACGGTATACAGGTGGTCATGAGGACATTCGCCACCAACAGTGTTAAATACAGTGAATATGTGGAGTTGAGGACAGTCGTCATCGACAGTGCTAAAAACAGTCAAAGGGTGGACATGACAATAGACATCCACAGTAAATACAGTAAAGGGATGGAAATGAGGACAGTTGACATCAACAGTCTTAAATACGGTATACGGGTGGTGATGAGGACATTCGTAATCAACAGTGTTCAAAACAGAAAAGGGGTGGACATGAGGACATTCGACATCAACAGTGTTAAATAAAGCGAAGATGTGGTCATGAGGGCAGCCGACATCAACAGTCGACATTATCCGTATTAAATACACGATAGTGGTTGGCATGAGGACATTCGACATCGACAGTGTTAAATACAGTGAACACGTGGTCATGAGGGCAGCCGACATCAACAGTCGACATTATCCGTGTTAAATACACTATAGTGGTTGGCATGAGGACAGTCGACATCAACAGTGTTAAATACAGTGAAGATGTGGTCATGAGGGCAGCCGACATCAACAGTCGACATTATCCGTGTTAAATACACTATAGTGGTTGACATGAGGACAGTCGACATCAACAGTCGACATTATCCGTGTTAAATACACTATAGTGGTTGACATGAGGACAGTCGACATCAACAGTGTTAAATACAGTATAGAGATGAAAATGCAACATGCAACTGTATGGATGACAACTTCTTGTTTACTGCATAAAGCGACGCTTCGATTAGCTTGATAACGGTGTAACAATCTCATCAAAACGTCGCTCTATGCAATATTGTAAACCATAAAATTGTATGTTCCATTTTAAACTCATCACCTTCTAGAATGCAATACAATGCAATTATTAGTGGTCATAAGGGCAGTTGACCTTATAAGTGTTAAATGCTGTAAAAAGGTGGTCATAAGGGCAGTCTACATCAACAGTCCACATTAACAGTGTTAAACACAGTAAAGGGGTGGACATCGGGGCAGTCGACATCAACAGTGTTAAACACCACCACAAATCATACTATTTGGATTAAAGGAAAATCGAAATGATCCTTTAAATATAATTCTGCTTCTTATTAAACGGACAATTTTTCACAACCGAAAGTATGGAATAGTACCAGATCAAAAGAACCTTTTTAGAATCTGCTGCCAATACTATTATGCCTCAAAATGTATTGCTTTTACAACCTGTTCATAGGATAGATTTACAAAATTTTGGTCATCGCTACACACTCTATTTGCCTCATAATATATTACTTGCTTCGGATCAAGTCCAAATTTAGCATGGAATGTAAGCAAAGACTGTAGACCAACATACATATATTTCCATAGTTGTATAGACTCTGATATTAGAATCTTTATATATCTATACATACTCACTTTTGATTACATGTGACATGTGAACTATACTTTGAAAAAATGTGCAAATAAAAAACACACAACAAAAACCAGTGTTAAACACAGTAAAGAGGTGGACATGAGGACAGTCGACTTCAACAGTCTACATCATCAGTGTTAAACACAGTAAAGGGGTGGACATGAGGACAGTCGACATCAACAGTCTACATCATCAGTGTTTAACACAGTAAAGGGGTGGACATGAGGACAGTCGACATCAACAGTCTACATCATCAGTGTTTAACACAGTAAAGGGGTGGACACCAGGGCAGTCGACATCAACAAAGTTGACTCCAAGGTTTTTACATCCGGTCACAGGTGGACTCGTCTCCGCTTTATCACTAGCCTGGCGCCTGAGACAGCTCTCCCACCACGCCTCATCATGTGGGTGGACATGAGGACTTTCGACATTAACAGTGTTAAATACATAAGGAAGAGAGTTTCTATGCAAAATCACCGGAACATAACTCCCGATAACAAGTAACGAATCAGCCTACAACACATTTGTATAAGAAGAATACTGCACACATAGTCGTGTGAGTGAACATACGGACTTAATAATGTCAGGTGTACACGAAATTGATCTCGGTAAGCGTCTACTAGAGTTTCATCTTGAATACCCAGGCAATCGTATACTTGACTTAACATGGACTGCAGGCAGACTAACGCTTTGTCTCTGAATATGCATATTTTGGCCAGAAACAAATACTTCCTTGTATATTGAAAAGGAGTCCCAGTAAGATAGACCCAGAACCTGAGGACATCTTGACTGTGGGTAGTTGTGTGTACACGGGATTTGGAGTTGAACTTTAACAGTCAGAAGTAATTTTAGAATATTTATCTTATCTTCTACCGGAAAATACCTGAGGTTGTATACTAGCCTGCCACAAAGACTTGAATACAGAATTTTTATCAGCTGCCTCTTGGCAACAGGAAGATGGGGGTGGGGGTGGGGATGGAGGGAGGGACTTGAGAAGGAGACTG